CTATTGAAAACCTTCAAGCACTGGATGACCGTTTCGTTTCAGTATACGACTCCTCAAAAGCGTACATCCATGATCTCACACTCAGGATCCGAAACCAGCCTTGCGCGCGGACGCTAAACGTATGTACCACTGAGTGAGACCGAAGGTCCTGCTTTAAATCCTGAGTGATTTCTCGTAGTCAATGAAGTTGATGCAGAGTGATGAATTTCATTCAATTGATTGTTCCACAAGGATACGTAGATTTGAGATTTGGTCTGTACACGATCGATCTTTACAAAATCCAGCCTTCTGCTTTTAAAGTTTGGCGTCTACGGAGTCTCTCGTTTTGTTTAACAATATCCTATTGAAGACCTTTCCTGTTATTGAAAGAAGACTGATGCCTATGTAGTTATCACACTTACTGAGATCACCTTTTCTTTGGTATTTCGATTAGACGTCCTTCTTTCCAGTCTGTTGGTACTTGTTCTTCATCCCAAATCTTACTGAAGAGAATGTGGATTATGTTTGCAGTTACTGCTACACCTGCCCTCAGTGATTTTGCTGGAATGTTGTCTGGTTCTGCTGCTTTGTCTCTCTTGATTTATCTGATGGTCATGCTGATCTCTTCAACTTTTGGTGGGCCGACATCGATTGGGAGGTCCGTTTGTGCGTCATTGTTGGTTGTGTTCAGTGGGGCTAGTCGATTCAAGAGAAATTTTTTGAAGTGTTCTACCCACCTGTTTCGCAGTTCTTCAATATCTGGGATCATCTTGCCTTCCTTGCTTTCACTGGTTGTTCTGGTTTACTATAATTTTCAGAAAGCTTCTTTGTTGTATGATTTAATTGTCTCAATGCTTGTTAAGTTTTAATTTCATCTTGACGACCAGCTAGTGTTGATCTGATGCTATATCAGCTCTTCTCCTGGTTCTGACATCCTCCATCGTCCTCCTGAACTTTTCGTTGATACAGATATGGTCAATTTGGTTCTGCGCAGTTTAATCCGGTGACGTCCACGTGGTTTTGTGAATGCGTCTATGTGGGGATGTGTTACCGCCTATGACCAGTTTATTGAAGGCACATAGGTTTGCAAATCTCTCACCATTTTCGTTCCTTTCTTCTAGTCCATGTCATCCCATGATGTCTTTATATACAGTGTTGTCTATTTCAACCTTGGCATTTAAAATTCCCACCAGAATGGTCAAGTCCTTTTTGGGCATTTCTCAACGATTGACTGCATCGTACCATATAATTTGTCTTTAACGTCTTCATCGTAGTCGTTGGTCGGCGCATAGCGTTGGATGACTTTCATTGTAATGCACTCTCTCTTTGTTTTGAAGGAGGCTTTGATGATCCTTGGTCCATGAGATTCCCATCCTACAAGTTCATTTTGTGCTTGTTTGGGCAGCATCGATTCAACTCCCTGTGTATATGAGGTATTTTCGTTTTGATAACGGGAGTATAATAGAAGTTCCCCCGTTGTTGTCCAACCTGCGTTCAATGTGTTTTACATATTCAAAGCACTTCCAGGTTGTATCTTTTCATTTCTGCAGCAATATGGAGGGCTCTTCCAGTCTCCCACATTGTACAAGCATTCCATGTACCCAGATAAATGATTGCTCTGGTTGTCAGAAGGTTCATCAGCTTCGTGACTTCCGAAGGAACTCAGCTTTCACCATGAAGCCTCATAACTCTTGTAAATAAGGTTATTTATTTATTTCACTATCCAGTATCTTTATGCACATTATTATAATTTTGTGATCCCAGTATAACAAAAAAAATGCTTAAAATATTATATGTAGAATTCTTAAATTGCTGTTAAAAAGCTCTTGATGAAGAACGTTTAGAAACCTATCTTAAGAGACTCTTTTTTATATTTTATTTAAATATAAAGACGAAATTTATGGTTTAAACGTAGTCCAATATGTCAAATGAAAAAGAATTTTGTAGATCTTTTCGACTTTAAAAACCTAATGGTGCACGATCAGTGGATTTAAGTCGTTGCACGTGGTATATTTGTTAGCAACTCATTATTTCTACAGTAAGATATAAAATGAGAGTCATGAATATATCATGTAAGCGAGTAATATTAGATACTAAACATTCTAAAACAGACATCTCACTTTATTTTGATCTCATTCATTTATTTAGCTTCATCTAACAATTTATGTATATACGAAAAGTATGGACAACTGTTTTCTCAGATCATTACAACATTGCTTTGCTTGAATATCATTATGAACAATTGCTTCTGTTGACTAATAGTTTTAAGTTTATTATGACCTACTGTGACATTTTTCACTTCTGTTTTCAGATTACTTTCATGTATTTCTACAGATTCTGAAGAATATTTTTATGAAAAAATTTACGATAACCCTTTCAGTATTAAGTTAACTCATCATCTTCATTTAACAATCTAATAACAGTTTAAATCAACTTTATGAGAGGAAGAAGCATTTCAGAATTGTCTAGTTGACTAATGACCTAAAATTACTACGGAAATAAAAGAAATTTGTTTCTTTTTCTAATGAGTTTATCTGAAAGAAATCAGTTGAACAAAGTAATGTTTATTCTCTTTCATCGTTTATCCCATCTTAATTTAGAAATATTCTGACTGATATTAATAGACATCAAAGACTAATAATTCTAAGTTTAGTTTTAAACTTAATGTTCATTTAAACACTAATAATACTTTAGATAAAAGTTATCTGATGTCTTTAAAATATACTTCAGTGGATTGTATATTCAGCGAAAAAAGTATACCTTTTTAAGCTCTTAGCCTGTATATCCGTATACAAATGGTACTGAGGACAAGTTAACTCCAAATTTTAATCGGTGTACGAATGTATTTGATTTGTGACGACATTCTCCTAACCGATTCTCAGTAAAATGTAGTATAAAGTTCGCGATTAAAGAAACCGATTATTTAACGCATAATATCAGAACATTCGTTTAAAGTTTGTTTTTAAAACATCTAAAATGCTTTGGAAAACATGTTATAAACATGTTACAGAACGTAAAATTCAACGTTCAGTTTACAACCATTTGATATAACATCTTTAGCAATGTATATTTGATTACGTCTTTTAGGAGATGACGCATGATTTGAACCATCTCAGAGAATGGAACAACTTCAAAACAGTTATTTTGGGCTGCAACTATTCTTCATTGCCGTAATTACTTCTTTTAGCTAGATTTTGACGATTATTGGGTATTTATCATTCGCGTTCATACTTTTTGTCTTGTGTGGGAATTGTTTTAGAGTGAAGATCACCATATCCATTTAACATAATGACATTGTCAAATCTACAATGTTTCCAATTCATCAACAATTTATATACACAGTTTTCTGTCACTATATTTTTTACGAAAACATACAGTTCAACATTGCAACTACATGTAATGTCCTAAAAATAATGGGTCAAAAATCCAAACAGTGTTCGAAAGTTTGTATTACTCGACCATTAGGTACCTGACTTATTTTTTTGAATTTTGATAATATAAACATTTCTTGTTTTTTCTTCATGTAAAACAAGAGAATTCTGTTGTTTTAACAACAGTTTACATTCCTTTGAATATTCTCAATGTATCTAATCCATTTTCATATGAAAACAGTTACAGTGAAAATGAGGACACAGAAAATGCACCATAAATTGCTTTCCTATATTTTATAGTTCTGAACAGAAATTTTTGTTTGTTACTGATACTCTGCCCTCTTTGAATTTTCTTCATTCATACTTGTATGACATGAAAAAAAATCCATCACCATAAAGACGATAAAAATGACAGTATGTTCGAACTAAACAAATGTTTTATTTGACAGAAAGCATTAATCTATTCACGAAAATAGTATTATTTTAACAAACTGAACATTTAGTAAATAGCTTCCATTGCCCTATGGATCATTTCAAAATCGACCTTAGGTGATATTAGCAGTATTCATAAGAATTAGATGATGGTAGTCTAGCTTCAATTGACTAACGCTTTCAATTAGATGATTGTTCATCAATGAATTAAATTCATTTATGAGAAGTTATTTATGCTTCATAAGCCGATTGTCGAATAAATGACATAATAGCTCAATAATACTGTTCACTAGATTATTATCATTATAATAAGATAAGACATACATAATCTATTCAGTAATCATTTACTTCAAAATGCTCAATAAGCTATTTTTTTTTAAAAGAAAGCTACATAAAATTTCACTAAATTTTCTGTTTTTTTACTCTTATGAATAGTCTAAATAGTTGAGATCATGATTCAATTGAAGCTAGACCACCATGAAAAACCTGGAAGCACTGGATGGCCGTTTCATCCTATTGTGGGACTCTTCAGCAGTGTACATCCACAGCCCCGTCTCGCGAGATTCGAACCCAGGGCCAGGATCAGTCTCTCTCGCGAGCGCTTAACCTCTGGACCACTGAGCCGGCATCCAACGATATTAATGTCTAACTTCAATCGACCCACGAAATGGAGTGACACATCCACCACTGAAATTACTATATTATCCACAAAACGCCTTTTGATCTTATGAATAAGTTTAATGAATCAATATGATTGGTTAGAATATACATATATAGTAACAACTTGATTGGTTAGAACAATTTTTTCTTACATTTTTCATCGATTACTCATTTAAAATATAATGATAACAACACTAGAATTGTCCCATATAATATTCATATATTACAAATGAAGTAATGACTTTCATAAATTTATATTATTTTAGTTCAATATTATTAGTACGGTAATAGGTATTACATAATTAAGATGGACAATAATGAATGATTTACATTGTTTATCTATTTATAATATACCTTTTTAACCAATCATAATCAAGTAAAATGGAAGTTATTAAACTACATATTTAAAAAAAAATGAAATCTGTATTTTTGTAATGGATTATTAATACTATTTTCTAATTATATATTTATAATATTATTGACATTATGATTGTCCTTAGTCAATTCAGTTTATTCTCTCTAATAATTATATAACATTAATATTATTATGTTTATAATATAAACGAATTTATGGAATTGATCTATCTGATAGTGGATTAACTTAACTGTGCCAAAATTAACGATAGTGTAACCAAATCCTATTCATTGACTTGACAATATTTTAATAAACCTTGATATATAGATCATATTGTCCCGTAATGGCGGATTCATTTAATACTACACATAATAACGATGAGGAAGATTTGATAAATAAAGAATTAAATCAAGAAGAACAAAATACAGTAGATTGTTCGGATAACAATGTCCCTTTTCCAATGACAACTGAATATGAACTAGACAACTCAAATCAACATAATAATGGAAACGTAACTGAATCATCAAATGAATATGTTATAGATAATAAAAATGATCTAATAACTGAAGTTGAAACACGAAATCTAACTCAAAGTGGATCCGGTTATAATTTGGAATTAGAATGTAAAGAAATACATCCAAATGTAAATGAGAATAATGATACAGAATTGCAAAATACCAATGAGTTATGTATAAACGAGAAGATAAAATCTCATAATAACAACACAGATTTTCAGATGAATGACGATGAAGAAACAAAACTTAATTTGGAATGTTCAGAGTCCACCAATTACTGTGATCAAGAGCCTAATACAAGTAAATTCTTTGAACATATCTCCGAAGAAGAGTTTGAACCTACAGCTTTAATAATTGACTTCAATGATTCCACTGAAGTATATATAGAAGAAAATCACCCTCCTAATGATAAATCAGAGACACATTCCAATATTATAGACGATCAAGAAGGTGAAAGTAACATAAATACTGCAAAGTCAGAATTTTCCGGAATAAGAGAAAGTAAAGACATGATTGATGATCATAGCCCTCTGGAAGGGACAAGTTTATCAAGTGTAAAAATCGATGAAATAGACAGGAATAAATGTGAAACAGTATTGGAAGCGTCTTTTGATCATTTAACTGAAAAACAAGTTATGCCTCAACATCTTGATGACGTACACTTGACTGAGGACAATGAAAGAGCAGAAAATTTATTTGAGCAAACTACACCAGAAGAAGTAATGAATCTAACTGAACGAGGTGAACAGCTTCCCACCGATGAAAACGATATACCGTTTGACTTTGTTGTACATGATATAAACGAGGAAGTAGGTGGAAATCTCGATAGAATTAGTACAGGTGGTGTTGAAGGCAATATTCAAACACCTCTTGAGAAAGTCGAAACAAAATTTGAATACGATATATCTACATCAGTTGACCAACCAGAAAATAGAAGTGGCAAACAGTCACACACTCAAGTAGATCAAAATGAAGAGGAAATACACAATGTACCATCTGAATCCCATACTGGGGCTTATACTTCATTTGCAGACTACTTAAAAGATGTCGAATTTCCCGCAGTAGAAGAACAGACAACTTCAGAATATGAATCCCATCGTAAAGAAAAAGACAACAGTGATCTCATAAATACACTTTCCCCTGAATTGAATCATACGACAGAAGAACGAAATTATAGTACTGATTTTATTACAGATGTCCTTAATAAAGATGATTATGACGATGGCAAAAACAAACTGTTTACTGAAGATCAAGATAATGTTGAAAAAGAAGACCACTTACAGTGGTCCGTAAATGGTGACTCATTATATATTCAGCAAACTAACTCTCCATCGATGAATGACGAAAAACATACTGAAATCGATGCTATAAACAACCGAATGTCATTATCTGATAAAGACATATGTGAAAAAAATGGTCTGGAAAGTGGTCCATTATTGTACGCCACACAAAATCTTATCAATGAGTTACAGACAGTTGAACACTTAACAGATGACAGACCAGAACCGTTGAATATCTCTGTAGATATTCAAAGTGATGAATTATGTAACGCTGAAATACATAAAAGGTCAACAGTGGAATGTTATGTAACAGAGCACTATTCCAATGATGATGATGATAAACGCAGTATCAGTAATTATAAAGTAGAAAACATCTCACCCGAATATTTTGAAGAACATCAATCTTTAAGGAATGAAAATAAGGAAAATCAATCAACTCCAGAAACGTTAAACAACCAGCTGGAATTCAAACCTTTAAATGATATAAACAAAAATACGGCACTTAGGAGGATAGGTGATAATGTTGATGAGATAAGCCTGAACTCAGAAGGTGAACATAGAACCGAATTTGAACAACGTTATGCAGAATTAATTGCAAAGTATCTACCAGTTGAGAAACAATCAAAAAAGAATGATAGATCAAGACGAACTAAGACACTAGACAGATATAGTAAATCCAAATTTAATGAGAATAGATACTCATATATAGATACAAGTGATGTTAAAAAAAGAGCAGTAACCCTTGAACGCAATGAATTTAGACGCAAACGACGCCTGCAACCAAAACCAACTGTTAATGACGATTATTTGTATCCAGATTCTGTAACACCATCTAAGGTAGACAAAAGTATTAGCGTACGAAGTTTAGAGGAGGGTATCCCAGAAGGTGCTTATGATGTACCATATATTGATGATGACGCTTTCTTGCCACGAAGATTACGTGAAAATAAAGGTGAAGATAATGGATCAGATGAAGGTAGTAGTCTGAGTCTGGAAGAAGATTACTGGTCATGGAATCCTGACAGATTTAGTAGATTAGAAGCTAATCATATCGCTGATACTAATGAATGTGCTCCCACTCCAGGTTAGTTGTTTAACAAAAGTGTTATTCTATAAAAGTTAGTTATGTTTTATATAAACTGGATGTCTATGATTATAGTTTAACCTTAAAATTAGGCATAACATGATGCTCAAACTCAAAACTGGGTGGGAATGGTTAAAAACCGAAAGCGTCGTCTACCTGTCTAATTAGCGTTTTAATGATGTTAACTATTTATTAGGAATTTACATGATCATAAGCTAGTACTCCTAATCTAGTATACATATGAGAACACGAAACTGGTAACTTGCAGCTGATGTACATCATAGTCAACACAGAACGTTTTGTCCTAACATCGATGAAGGTAGACCAGTAAATTATGAGAATCAATGATAAGGGTTACAAGTGTATGATTTGTTCTAAATATCATTGTAATTTATCTCCACAAAATTAGAAAATTAAGCACATATCTTAAAATGAGACATATGTACATTTGCGCAGATAAGATAAAATAGCTTATAGTGCCCATTCAGGTTAACTAAAATCCGTTATTTAGTGACTTACTTCGAGAGAGATTCTTAAAGTTCTATTCTAAAGCTGTAACGGGTGAATTCCAATCATTCAATGAATCAGAAAAGTTTTGTAGTTAACAATATACGAATTAAACGTAATATAGTGAATTAACTGAAATTAAAAGTGTAAGCCATTGAAACTCACCTCACTGACAAGTTTTATTAAGTTACTTTCAAATCTTAATAGTTATTCATTCACGACTTGATAGAATTGTAATTAAGAACTTCTGAAGAGTTCCACACTGGAATAAAAATAACTAATTAGTTCACTATGGTTTTCAATGGTTTTCTAATCAAAGTCAACCCACAACGTAAAATGAATTATTTTGAAATGTAATTATTTTGAAGTAATACCGTATAGGAAGGCCTAAAATGTTCAACTTTATAATCAAATATAGATCATATATGAATACACTATTATAAAAAACATAATTTAGCCATTGTATCTTATTTATTACATTCGTACTATGATTCGACAATTTTAATCTGTATAAATCAGCATTGTTTTTATTATGACTTTTTAACTGATACAAAATCAATGTAAACATTACATAACGAATTAATTTTGGGAAACACTTATGTTCCAATCAAGAGATATGATTATACAAATACTGAGTTCGATTTTTATAACCAATATTACCTCTATGGATAACACTAACAGATTTCGATTGCTTATAGCAATTTAAGTAGTATAATATTGACTGTTTTTCATTTATATCGATTCATCAAAAAGAAATTTCACCGATAATTATGTTTTGTATCAAAATCTTCTAATCATTACTATTAAATAAATGTTTAAATTTAATAAACAACTTGGTTTTAATTTAAATATAGTTTGGTACCTAAACTAGTCCGATGAAATATAATGGTGTCACTTTTACAAATGAAAAAGGGACTAAGATTTTATCTGCATTTAAATTATTTAACATGTAACTCACATTTCTTCAATTCAATATACAATAATTGTTAATTTACAACTTCTTTAGAGAATGATCACTAAGTTATTCATAATCTTTAAAAGAAAACTGTAGAATAGAATGTGTTTGAAGACAGCATAATTGTACCAAGGACTCCATGAACATTATTTCAGTTAAGTATCCGTTGATTACATGATAGTCAAAAGTAACACTCCACTCTTTGAACCATAAAATCAATGATTTATCATAAGAGCGAATAGACTGTATAATTAAAATTATATCTTAGAAATCCATTAATTGTTACACAAAGTATATATGTGCATAAAACGGTGAAAAATATGTATTAACACTATTCCATAAGAGATTATTTTTCAGATGGTTTCAATGGAAACGTTCTATGTCAACTAGCAAAAAGTAGTTCACAAATCCTTATCAATACTTTTTAAACGTAAAATTTAGTATGATTACAAATGATTGATGACTCAGTGTAATATAGATTTTTGACTACTGTGTATAACTTATATAAACTGCAGTGAATAATAGTTCATTCGGCAATTCTAACGTCGTCATTGTACTGAATACAGACGTTTTCTCATTTTAAGGACTTGCTAGTAATTAGATAATCATTTATAACTAACATCTACTATTAAACAATTTCAGAATGACACAAAAATACTAATCAAATTAAAATACCCTTTTAAAGTCAACTACTACTCATCATAATAAATACCTTAATGCTACTATTAAGAATAAATTAAGAGACTTCACCACAAGAAAACTCTTCATCTTCCTACACTTCCCAAGTAAACTAGGTTACTAAAATAAACTAATCATTTGAGTTATAAAAAATATCCAAATCATTATATATATATAGAGAGAGAGATAGATAGATAGATAGATAATATTCAATTAAACTATTCGAGATATGTTTATTTTTAATAGCAACTCAATACAAAAACTGATTTCTTTTCGTGCTATCTAAACGTTAAACAGCTTTTTATGAACTTCATATACAATCGGTATAAGACTATTTTGTCTGACATTCAGTTTGTTGTCAACAGTCATCTTTGTTGAATAAAAATACCGAATCTAAGTATGTATGTATATAAATAAGCTTGACATCCGAAATCGTAGTTATTGTTCTTTTTTTTGATCGTTGTAAACTATAAATATTCAGGTGTTACAATTAAGTGAAATTAAAATTTGTTTGCTTAAAAGAAGTAATTGAAGTATTCATGTATCCAGAAAATACTTGTATGAATAAACATACGATCATAAAAGTATTAGGTTAATTACTGTTAATTAATTCATCAAAACTGACCCAAATATTTATTTGTCATAAAATGCGACATGGTCAGTTGTCTATCACAGAAATAATATGTTTAGTTATCTTCATACTTTACTTATTACACTTATAAACATTTAATCCATTGGCATATGTGCATCCGGTACTGGTCGTCTTGATATTGCGTTAAGTCACAAGCAGTAAAAGCACAGGTGGATTGTGGCTAGTAGTGGAACTCAGTACCCAAGTGGATAACACGATACTGTTTGAAGCGAACGGTGTTTGGCTCGAATCCCGGAATGAACATCAAATCGAGGATGCAGATACATCCAGTAAAAGAGGCCCAAATAGGAAGAAACGCTCATCCTAGATTCAACTGCTAGCCACAATCCACCTTCATTCATAATACATTCTTGTTTATCCAGTTCCTTATGAGTGATCTTAGCTCCTATTGTTTCTAATTCCAACAGCAAAATAATGTTTTAATGTATACACTATAAATGTTATTTTAATAATGTAGATACATTTCGGACTATTTTGTACTACAGAAAATTTTGTTTCCCTTAGTTTCATATTGTGTTTCATTAAATACTATTCTCTGATTCAAGACAGCAAGGTTCACTGTCAATCCCAAAACATCTAGATAATTACTCGATAATTTCAAAAAATCATCTGTATTTGTAGTAAACAGTGCATGCCATAAATGTTTTGAACTTAAGGCTGTGAATAATTATCACTGTTATCTGATATCTTAGTTTTGAACAGATAATACATTGGTGAGGATATTTTGCCCTGAAAATGCACAAGTTTGATGTACTTTCAGTAAAGTATTGCATTGTTGGCGCATTTCCTAACCAAATGTGGTTAGTATATGTGAATCCATTTTCATAAAGTGGGTCGTTCAATTGTCCACCGAAAAAATTACCAGTTGTTGCCATAACTTACTTTGTTTAGTTATCCGTCTAACCTAAAAGATCAATTATTTATTCATTATTCAAGAATTCAGGCCTCATTGAGAAGTTCTCTAACTAACTGTTGACAGTCGTAAGGGAAATAAAAGGAAATTATAAAATTAGTTTATTTAGATCATACCACAAAACCAATCATGTTTCTAAGTAGCGGCTAACAGGTTTTGTTGTAAAATTTGGAAAGTCACATCCACTATCATTTGTCTAATGACACGATATGAATAAGTCTGTTGTTACATTATTGAGTTAAAAAATGGTATATTTTATAACTCAATAACCAAAAAGTACGTACTGTTATTAAGTACACTTTGCTGTGAATAAAAATGAATGAAGACCTCTCATCTTTTTGTCTCATGTAATTGAATATTGAAGCGATATGCTATGGATAACAAACACGCCTGGCATGAACAAGCTGATAGAGATATTTATAAAAGGTACCTACTTTGTTGCTTTTTTACTCCTTTCTTCGTTGATCAACTACTTCGCAAACAAATATGTATGTATGTAAACAATCTTGAAACTGTTTACAGTTTTATAAGTAATAATAACCTAATTTACCTGCATAAGATACTGCATTAAAGACCATGTTATTTAAAGTGATATATGGAAATCTAAATATATATGAAATCTAAAAAAATTCAAAATTAGTCATAAGCTACATAGACACCAGGGTTTAATTACGCTTTTACTGGTAATACATACAATAATACTTGTTATGTTTATTGGCCAATAATGAAGATAGTGATCAGGGTTATTTCATATGTTGCTGTACAGAATAAAAAGTAATAGACATTGTTATGCATCCACTTTTGTAATGCTTGTTTGAATCTTCCCACTGATGGTTAGGACTTCAATTGATCAGTCTCTTATTGATAAATGCGTATCCCTTATGAATGATCTCGATATTTGACTATCCAGATAATAAGAAGAAGGGTTTTACATAATGCATGTCATGTGTATAATTAAAAAAGATTTTTACCTAGCAAATTAATCAAAGACGCTTCTGTAAATACAGAAAGTTATCTGATTACGATCTCAACCTTATTTTCAATTCGGATGATATTCTTTACGATGCGGTTTCAGTTCAGCCTTTTAATTTTGTAAATAAATATAGTACATTAAAATATTTAATGATCTCTTTAGAGCAGTAATGAAGGTTAAAACTGTAAAATGTATCCGCTGTAGAATGTGTTTCATACATGAAAGTAATAAAGAAAAATAATATTTCAATAAATAAATGATCACAGATGCTTTATGTAGTCAAGCCAAGTCGTTTTAACTCATAGCTTTCTTATCAATCCAT